AAGCAGAAAGCTCAGCTGAAACTCATTACCTGTTTGTGTTTTGGGCTTAGCCTCCCACCATCTTTTGCGTCTGCGTCAATGGATGCATCTGTTGCGCCTGGCCTTGTGCCTGTGGCATCAGTAGTGGCCTAGGTTCTGACGGTGATCCGTGCAAAAAGAAGCGACAAGGCGCAATAGCACTGGGTGGTCGACTGTGCTGTCAAGGACGACGACCGAACTACTTCATTTCCCTCGGCCACTGCGTTGCAGGCATTGAGAGCTTTCTGCAATATGTTCCTTTAGCACTTGACTGTTGTGCTCCCAGCAGGAGCAAGTCCAGGATATGCTGCCCTTGCGCAACCAAAAAACAGCCCACATTGTATGGATGCTGATCCAAGGCTCAAGCATCGGCATAGCTCCGAAGGGCACCATTGGTGCCATAGCACCCATGGGCCTTGCTGTTACTGTTACACTATCTTACAAGGAAAATATGCCAATATGCAAAAAAACATTAAGACACAAGCGGGTACATTTGCGGAGAGTAGCTGGGGAAAGGCCTCACACCAGATTTCGAATAAACGGTCAGAAGCATAAACTCATATATATATATATTTAGATATGAATCCAAAAAATCATCTTTCTGATCTTCAAAGGAGCCGCCTCATCTGTGCAATCATTGCCATTGCCTCAACCCACCGCCAGGTGCGAAGGGCACAGTCGCTCGTTACAGCCTTCGCGGCCACAGAGCTCCGAGCCAAAAATATACAGTTTTAGGTGGGGTTCCAACTGTGGCGCAAATGACAAAGCACCGCCAAAGGAATCTAGAAGCAAGCGAGCCACCTCATGCAAAAAGAGCAAAAAGTGCGGAACCTTTTCTCTGCTGGCGCTTCGCTTCACTGTTTTGAACAGGAAAGGAACACCAATGCCATTGGACTTCTGTCCACTCTGGTTGCAGAGCAGTTGTCATTTTCATCTCAGCTCAAAACGAGTCAACGTGTTCTAAGACCTAGGTTGGGGAAACCATCAAAGAAGTCAGCTTGCCTTGTAACGATCTGCAGAGCTTGTCGACTGACTAGGAAGCGATCCACCTTTGGTTGGTCAAAATCTGAGCCAACATGAGCCAAGCAATGACTCAGCGGCCAACAAAGACATGACTCACTACTCAACAACCGGCAGTGGCAAATGTCCTTGCAAACTGCAAGAGCTCGGCAGCCTGAATTATGCTGGCCTTTCGCACAGCCAACTTTAGGCTCCTGTCTCTGCAAGGCTGCAATACCTCAATGTAAGAGTTAGTAAACTTTGCGACGCATCTACGATGGTACCGAGTTTTAAAACCGGAAACTGGGCGGTTCTGGCTTTTGCTCTCTCAGCTGCCGTGTAAGGCTTGCGCTTGGCAGCCAAAGGTGCTGATGCCCCATCTAAGGCCCGATTCACCAATGCCTTGGATGCATGATGACATGACATGATAACGATTCGTACATGTGAGTATGTATAAATGTCAAATGCAAAGGCCCAAAGTTGATAAGTGCAAAGCAAAAACAGCTGCCAAAACTAATACAGGATACAATCTGAGCCTTGAGTTCCTGCTGGAGTCGTGCCAAGTCTGCTGGGCTTGGCTTTGAGCTCTTTGGAGGCATTGCATGTTCTCGTCCTTTCGCCCTGTGCTTTGCACCAGTAGCACTTACACTGGAGCTTAAGGATCGCTGCACGTGTCGGCCTCTCGGGCCTCTTGGGCCTCTCGGGCTTGCACTTCGAGCTCTCGGGCTTCGGGGTCGAACTTCACGTGCTCGAAGCTTCGCTTCTGCTTCATGTTGCTTTCGTTCTCTCAAGCGTGGAGTCAGGCTTCGGATTGGCGCACGACCCAAGCGCGGAGAGATAGGTCTATCCTCCAGGTGCCAGGTTTCAGTCCTAGTTCCACATTTACCACAAGCATATGGAGTCTCAGAAGGAGAGCACCGGAGACCAGTGCTGAAAAGGAGATGCGTCCACGTCTCCAGTCCTGGCATCAAGAAGCGAAGCCATACACCTCTGAATCACATGATCAAGTTTCCCCAAATGTCTAGGAACCAAATCATAAGGAGGCGTGAGCTATCCTGCGTCCATACTGCGTTGATACTAGTTACTAGATGTTACTAGTAGCTTAAGTAGCTAGGAGCGTTTTCACTTCCTTAATTAAGTATAGCGGGCTACAATAGAATAAAATAAAACAAATTCACCCTGGACTCGTGGGTGTCGTGTCCTGTTGGCTTGTCGCCTTTTGCAAGAGGCCAGTTGTTTACATTCTGTGGCAGTTGGGTAGAAGGCCATCCTGCGGGGATGGAAGTGACATCAAGATGACAAATGCCAAAATCACAAAGGCCTGCAAATACTACGTACAGTATATACATATCTGCTGTCACACCCTTCCAATAAAGCATGTCAAGCAGGGACTATATAAGTACAAAGGTGCACTTGGTGGCTACTGACTTGCTGCCCCACAAATTGTTTTGCTTTGTTTGAGTTGTGTACTTATAAAACGCTGTGTCATCATTCGAGGCGCTCGAGGATGGTGGCCACTTGCAAGGTGACCAGTTGCTCTTCTCCCTGGAACAAGTCATTTGAGAGACCAGAGTCACTAGAGGTTTCAGGTTTCTCATTTCACTCGACGAGGTGAGCGGCCTTGTAGTGTCCTTATCCAATCGTAAAGGCTGACGAGGTGATGGAGTCCTATCCTTGGACAATAATTGCATCGAAAGCCACAGAGTATCTATATATTGCCATTTTATTTATACACACGTACAAAACAACGAAGAAAGAGTAAAAGTCAAAAGAACTTGCTAAAAAGCAAAGGATGCTATTCTCTTGCTGATCTATTTGAGGTCTTTGTTCCATAGACATGAACAGACTGTCCAAGCACTCCGAGCCTTCTGACATCTTCGCGGTGTACGTGGCTTGGAGCGTTCCCTTTGGCCCAGCGCGGGGAATGAATGACAAGAAGGATCGACAAAGGAATGCAAATGCTTCACGAAGGCTATCAGAGTAAGCAGAGCAAATACACGGCCATGGGTTGAGGTTGCAACCGATCCATTCGTGGTGAAGACTGTGGTGAGCCTGGCTGCAAGAGTTGGACAAAGCATGCGAAAGAAATGAATCTGAGCTCCTACCAGCATCGGTCTTTCATACTGATAAGGTTGGGTACTGCTTTTTGCATTCTGGCCCCAAGGTTGACCCTGCCTGCAGAAGTTGAGATGGAGCTAAGCGACGGATCCACCGGTGGAACGACCTGGACCTTCGACGCAGAATGACAAAAAATAGTAAATGATTAATAACGCACAAAAAAAAATATAAAGGAAAAGGTGAGCCTTTAATCCTCATGCAGTCCAGGTACACCGTGTAAACTGTTCAGCAAAGGTCTTTCAGGTTGCGCTTGAGCCTCCTGTTAACAACTGCTTTTTACTGAGCTTGTCAAGTTGCAGCAAGCCATGCCTGGCGTGACGCTGGAAGCCCAACATTCATGCGAAGCAGTGCCTGAAGCTTCGCTTGCGTTTGGTGTAAAAGAAGTGATTTGAGCAAAAAATGCTAAGTTCTTTCTGTCGAGATCAAGTTGCAATTTCCGCTGCAGCTTGAGCCCGGCCTGGCAACGAGTGGTTCCACAGTTCTTCATGCCAAAACATCACAAGACTGAGCATTTCCGTCAAGGTTCACCAACCTTCCCGCTCAGCTCGTCTCGCAAGAGCCTGCAAAACGAGCCGCTAGTGGCATACGCGTTGTCACTATTGTCCAAATGGAATGTTCTGTGCAAAGTCTCTTCATCATCTGTCTCTGCTCTGAAGCCGAGAAGAACGCTTGAGCTCCTCAGGTCATGATTGACTGTTGGAATGCCTTCCATGAGTTTGGTGTCAGAGATCTTGCTGGCTTAGCCTGATTTGGCAGGGATGTGTCTCAAGCCCTGCACGAAGACATTCATTGAAGAAGACAGGAAACAGCTTCCAAGGGTGCTGCACTTGTTTAGTCTCGTTGCGCTTCTTTGAAATGCCACTTGTGGGCATAAACAAGTGGCAGGACAGATGATCAACACTAAGATCTTGTCACTGCGTTCACTTGTATCATCTTGTATCCAATCTTACTGTACAGAAAAGCCAGGAACGATTGAAACTCAGCGGTCTGTGCAGGCGGCCAACTCAATATGGCAGCCTCATAACATGTATCAACACAGCAAGTTTCGGTTGCACCATCCCGACTTCAAAGAAACGTATGTTGCTAACATGTAAGACGGCCATTCTGCATTCAGGCAAAAATATACATCATCAACGATTGCCAGCTTCTTGCTTGCGGGTGTGCAGAGGACTGTGCAGGTAGATTCAAACGTATTCAACACTCAGAATCCACAACACCAACAGCCTCTGGATGAGCTGTTGACGAATTCACTGCAAGTTTGCATGAATTTGAGCACACAAATCCTGGTAAACACTTTGCTCACCATGCCGGGTTGAAGACCCGATGGCAATGTGCAGGATTGTGCTCCGTGCACTCCACGGACGGAGATTTCTTTATCTCTTCACCAGACCATGCGACGCAGAGCCAGACCTGTCGCAGGGATCGTTTCGCTTGTGCAAAGCCACATGAACACCCTAGAGCACAGAGCCCTAGATGCACATAACCACCAGTGTTACCAAACGACCCCGAGCATTGTGAGCCTAGTGTAGAACATCTCAACCCTCAAACCCAGAAAGCCAGACTTGGAACCTGAAGCTGATGTCCATGCTCCAGCAATCTGCAGAGAAAGTTTTGTTCGTGTGTTGATTGCATGCAACAAAACCCTATGAGACGTTCTTTTGTCGCAATGCGCTCTCAGTTTTAAAAGGTTGATCAACACTTCAATTCACAGTGGAATACATCATCAGCACTGTCGTTCAATATGTCATGCCTAGGGCCTAGGGGATTTACGTAGTCAGACCAAAATAGGGAACCATCTGGTGGTGCATGGTTTTGGCTTGGGATTCAAGTCGAATCCCATCTGTGCACCTCCCCACCTAAGAAACAACTGCAACAGCTTCAGGACGCTTTTCCCATCCGAAAGGAAAGTTTCTGCATATGGCATAGGGACGCACCAACAAACAAAGATTTGTTTGTGCAGCCACGCCTCTTCAACAAAAAGGCTGCTCTCATTCGATTCGGTGGCCTCTCTGGGTTCCAATCTTCCCTGCGGAGCGTGGCGCAGTGAACTCACTGATTTGTTGACTTCACTGTGAACTCTCTGCTTCACTTTCGGAGTTGCCAATGGTGTGACAATTTGCTCCCCAGGGCCTGAGCCATTGCATCTGCTGGGGTAGACGATCAAGCGAAGCATTTGCCGACATCCTCACCTGTAGCAGCCCAGCTTTTGCGGATACAACATGATACAACAACAGCACTCAGCACGGTTGCACACGTGTCGTGGGCCTCACCAGTGCACGTGTTGGTCGTAGCTCATTCATTCTCATCCGTACATCAACATCATCGTCGTTTTCACAAGATTGCCATGGGCTGTCATGCGTGTTGCAAACTTTGTCCTTGCGTGTGATTACGCCATTACGCCGTTGGACGCGCGCATTGCGTTCTATCCCACCACGGCGATATCCCGGTCGATACCCCCCAAACTGTCCGTGTATCGGTGCAGTTCGGTGTGTGTGTGTGTGTCAACCCCTGTTCCAAAGGGTGCGACCTTCCTTTGAGACAAGCAGGGGGGCAAGGCCTCCAGCGATGAACCTTGTCCAACGAAGCTAAGTCGCTGGAGGGGAAGCACTGAGAGACGTCTCGGTGTGTACCTGCTGAGTTCTCCACAAGCTGTGACCCTACTTTTCCACGGTTTGATTCATGGTTCTTTCACGATACCTTCCCCGCAAACAGGTTTCCCACCGCAGCTTTCAGCCGCTTGTGCATTGCAGCCAGCAGAGCGAGTGAAACAATTTTCAACAATTCAAGTCACCGGACCTGTTCACCTTGCTGTTCCATCACCTTCCTTCTCATCGTGGGAATTGAGGTAACAACAAACCAATGTCAGAGTGTGAGCCGCTCAGTCGTCCCACTTGGGTGCTGTGTGTGATCCCCTTCACTGGGGCGCTGAAGCCATTCGGGAAATCATTGTCTCCATTTTTGATAACTGATTCCCTTTCTCCACTTGTATAACTGAATTAACTGATCCAACCGCCGTCGGGCTTAAAAACGAAGTTGACAGCCGCCGGGCTTAAAAACGGC